TATTAATCCTCCTGTGTGTGTGTGAAAAAAAAATAAAGTCTCTAATGTTATATTTGTGAATTTGTTATTTGTCGAGTGAATCGTGTTGGTGATGCTGAGAACTCATGCACTAATGAATTCAATATAAATCTGTAATATTATCAAACTTAATGGCAGTTTATGGGCGCATACAATATGGTAGGTGCTGCTGTGAGGTTGAAAGCACTTTAACTTTGTGCATTCTGAATGCTTCCAAATATTCGTTCAATTTTACTTCAGTGTTTTATGTATTGTTATCTTTCTTCTCTCTATAGGTGCGAATTGCGCGCATTTTTAATACGTATGGGCCTCGAATGTGTCTAGATGACGGGCGTGTGGTTAGCAACTTCGTCTCACAGGTTCGTCCTTTGGAAATGTTCAACATCAGATCTGCACCCTTTGATTCATCGAGTATAAAACTCTATTTTGTTTGTCTTGTATATTACTACAATATGAATCCATTTTGCTTTCCTTTTTGAAAATAGGGTAATGCAGGGAGTGGTGTCTATGCATTGATACTTTGATAGTAGGTGCCATTTCTAATACAATTTTAACAAATCTAAACTAAAAAAAATGTTGCAAAAAAATCAGAACTTACCTGTCTAGGTCTAGTGTCTACTGATATTAATCAGTATTGGTTGTAAACAGTGATTGAAATCTCCTTATTGCTGGCATCCCATGATTTTCTTTGCTCGGAGGGCAAAGTGTTGCAAAAATAATTCAACCATGACCGTGGCTATATTATGCAGGCTATACGGAAACAACCAATGACAGTCTATGGGGACGGAAAACAAACACGAAGCTTCCAATATGTGTCTGACTTGGTATGCCACGTCTTCTTTGTTTTCTTTATGCAAATACATCAATCTATTTGTCCCAAGTCCATGAATCACATGGCACTTTATAGGTTCGCCCTTAGCTGAAAGCTAGAACTTTTCGATCACCTAGAGTTTTTATGCTTTTGTTGGATTATGCTGGTTGTGACACAATGAATCCGCCAATTTTCAAATACTACTCTTACATATGTGATTTCCGGATATCAGGTAGACGGACTGGTGGCATTGATGGAGGGTGAACATGTGGGCCCATTCAACTTGGGTAACCCAGGAGAATTCACTATGTTGGAGCTTGCGGAGGTTTGTTCTTGCAAAAACATCTTTCTCTATTAATGGCATCTTTCATATTAATCTATAAGGTTAATGAGAAAATCTACTCTAGTTCACAAATTATTTCATACTTTTGTTTATTATGTTATTTGTTAGGATATAACATTTCAATTTGAAACTATGCATATATGTTGAAAGGTAAGGCTTCCTAATCGTTGGGTCTGCCTAACAGTAGCCTTACTAACTCCAATTTTAACCTAAGGAAGACATATTATTTTTGCTTCCTTCTAAATTATAACTATACGTTGACATAAGGACCAAATTTCTTTTTCTTGAGCTAATCCTCTGGGACGTTTTTTTGGATTACTAGATTTAGATTATTCTCGTTTCTGAATGAACAAGCTATTTTCACCATTAAACAACAGGTTGTGAAAGAAACTATCGATCCCAGTGCTACAATCGAATTTAAACCAAACACGGCTGATGATCCTCACAAGAGGAAACCGGATATTACCAAAGCAAAGGAGCTTCTCAACTGGGAGCCAAAGATTTCCCTACAAGAAGGTTTGCCCCGTATGGTAAACGATTTTCGAAATAGAATCTTGAACGAAGACGAAGGAAAGGGAAACTAACTATCGCGAACCAACCAACCAAAGGAAAGATAGCATGTATAGAACGAGAGCGTGTTTTGTAAGTCGACCATTCCACTTTCAGTATTGCATTCATATCTTTATTGAACATTTTGTCAGTAGCAACTTTAAATTTAGCAGTTTGTTACATCATTGTTGGTTGCTCTTTAAATTTTACTTTGAAGATCTTTTTCGTTGTTTTCACTGGGATTTTTTAGTTCAAATCCAGATTTTTCCCTTCTCATGGTGGTGTAAATGACATTATTGTCACTGATTGTATAAGTTAGAAACTTCATTGTTGATATGGTTTTGTTGGGGGTCCTTTTGATATTTTATTTTACATGGAGAGTGCAAAAAACAGGGTTTTAATTTAATTAGAAATAAATCCGGCTTTAATAAATAAAAAAAACGGATAAATTCTCTATGGCTTAAACTTTAATACTAATTACTCAATTTAATGCAAATAATAATAATAAATGCATCAAATTAGGAAACTTAATATTTATGGAAATAAGGTTGAGCTCCATAAATAGTAAATAATATCCTGACATTACACCAGATGCAGCAATACATATCAGTTACCATGGCACACGTTCTCTCTCCCCCCTCTCACTTCGTCTTCGTCTCTCTCCCTCATTGTCTCTCTCTCTTCTTCTTCTTCTTCTTCTTCTTCTTCTTCTTTTTCTATAATTTTATGCTTATATTTCCTCTTCGCCTACAATTAAATTTACCTAAATTAAATCCACAAAACTCATGCATTTAATGTACATATATAGTTGATTGATTTATTTGAGAATAATGTAAAAAGGAAATTTAAAAATTGCCAAAATATAATGCAAAAATGTTTGTTGACTTTTTTGTTACTATTTTCGGTAAATAGGTTCTCTCAACTAAATTGAGCTTAACATTCGCCTTAACACGATTTGAATTACTGGAATGACTTATGGCTAAGGGTATAAATGTGCCAAACCTAATTTGAGGTCGACACCAAACCCTTCCCAACCGAGTCGAGCTCGGTTCGTTAATTAAAGAGACTTTAATTTTGTTTATTTATCAATGTTAACGAATCACACTTGATATGTAATGTGCCAAATTCAAGCATTAATGAGTCAAACTTTAGAAAATAACATAAATATTCCTATTTTCGAGTTATGCTCATTCACAAAATAAGATTTAATCAAGCTCGGTTCAACTTTCGTATCAAACGAGTCCAATCTTGAGCCATAACGAGTCGACCAAAACTCACGAGTGACTCGTTTTCATTTAGAGCATCTCAAGCGCTGCAAAACATTACAACTTTACTTCAGAGTTGTACGAAAACTTTTTTTCTAATGTTGAACTATATTTTTCGCACTACTCTAAAAACGTGAACAACATCTCGCTGCATGTAGCCCGATATTGTTCATTACACTACATTTCTTTTCCAAATTTATTAATTAATGTTCATTCAAATGAATTATTTGGACAAAGTATACGTTGATAAAATTATTTTTTGCTAATAATTTTAAATCTTGATTTTATAATTGTATATAAATTTTGTACTAATATATTTCATGTAAAGTAAAATGTAACACAAATAACTTAACTCTATTAGAAGCCCTTTGTATGTAACAAATGGGCTTAAGAATAGACCATTGCTAATTTGCTTATACTTCAATACTGTAAGCCCAAATTGATTTCTCTAGTGTCCACCAGACCGTAATATAAAAATCTCGCCGTTTCACCTAAACCCTAATTCGGCAGCTCGCTTCTAAGGTATCGTCTCTCATTTCCCCTTTTTTTTTTTTTTTTTTTTTTTTATTTTTAACAATTGCAGCTCACATTTTTGCTTATATAAGTGCAAATTTCTGATTTTTCACTAATCAAACAGTTCAATTTTCAAGTGAGATCTCGAGGTTCGTGATGGCTCCAGCTAAAGGTGCGCGTTTTTTTTTTTTTCTATTTTTTTTGTCGATTATTCTTTATTCTGCGTAAATTATTGAATTGTATTTTTTTTGTTTAATCCCAATTGTTTCAGACAGATTTAATAATTTGAGGCTATTTTATTTATAGAATATTTTTTTGATTTGTATTTAAGTTGCAGTTCATAGCAATTTGTGATGTTAAGGTTTTGATATTTGATATTTGTTTCAAGGATGTAAAAGAATGTGTGGTAATAACTGTCATATGAATGCTTGGACTTGTTTGGTTGGTTAAAATGAAACTATTGAATGTTGTTGTTTGAGTGGGTAATTTGTTCAAAGTTCTTTTGATAACTTTTCTTGTTGATTGATGTCCTGTAACTTCTCGTTTATTATTTTGTATTTCTATTCGGGTTTATTTTCAGTCGATTCGTCCAAGAAATCGGACCCAAAGGCTCAGGCTTTGAAGACAGCCAAGGCCGTAAAATCTGGGGGAACAGCCTTTAAGAAGAAGGCCAAGAAAATACGCACGAAGGTCACTTTCCACCGTCCGAGGACATTGAAGAAGGAAAGAAACCCGAAATACCCTCGTATTAGCGCGCCACCTCGCCAGAAGCTCGATCAGTACCAGATTCTGAAGTACCCTCTGACCACTGAATCGGCCATGAAAAAGATTGAAGACAACAATACCCTTGTTTTCATCGTTGACATTCGTGCTGACAAGAAGAAAATCAAGGATGCTGTTAAGAAGATGTACGATATTCAGACCAAGAAGGTCAACACTCTTATCAGGTATTGAAATGTTTCGTGCAGTTGCTACATGAGCGTGCAGTTTCTACATGAGCACTCGTGTCTGATTGGAACGTGAAATTCTGGGTTAACTGTAGTAACGAAGTTAGGTTTTTATTGTACTTCTTCATGAAAATGATAGGCCATCTTAACGTGAATAGGATCGTTTCGTCTATCTGTTTGATCTGTCAGGGGAATGGATAGAAAGTCCATTCTTTGTCTATCTTTTAAACCTTTAGGCAATTTATGAAGTACTGTGCTAATTTTATGAGTTCTGTTAAGTTGCACCCTGAATAACCATTGCCATCTTTGCCAAAAATTCGTTGATGGTGAAAGGGTACTCCATTGGAGTTAAATTTTTTCAAATGAATTTCACTTGACAAATATGAAATAGTTGTACTTTTGTTTCATTATTCTAGAATCTTTATCACTTGATATGATACCTTTTTTTTTTTGTTGTTTCGAACATTATTTAACTCGTCTCATTCTTCTTTTAATGATTATGTCAGGCCTGACGGTACCAAGAAAGCTTATGTTAGGTTGACACCCGACTTTGACGCGTTGGATGTTGCCAACAAAATCGGTATCATCTAAGTGGCGTGTGCCCTTCAGATTTCAGCAGATCCTTTTCATTCACAACTTTGGCTCGGACAAAAAAAAAAAAAAAAAAATGATTTTTGTAAACCCAGGATATGAAGAACCGAATTTTCTTGCATTTTAGATGTTTTGTGGTGGAAGTGAGTTTTTCCTTGTTACGTTAGACCTCCGAACTCCAAAGTTTTATGTTATATCGTTCGTTGAGATTGGGTATGATCTGGTATCTTATTTGATTATAATGTATGTTTGCTCATGTAGTATCCCATAATACAGAGATTAGAGAATAGTAGTAGGAAAAAATTGTGATGAATAATATTATAATTTTTTTGTATAAAGAGATTTAAATATTTATTGGATGGCATACATTTTGAAAATGTATATTGTATTTTTATTATTTTTTAAAGTATGAGATTTCAATTTAAAAAATATATATATATTTTTATTAAGAAAGTATGTGCTAAACCAATAATTAGGCCGGCCAATATCATGTTGTAATAAGTATAACAATTCTATTTGATAAAGAATTGTGACTTGGGAAATAATATTGAAAATTTTCGACCGCATTCTCTTTCTATTTGACAAAGAAAGATGAACTAGCTTTGTTTTCTCAATTGATAACAAGATAAACTATTTGAAAAAAAAAAAAAAAAAAAAAATGGGGTTAAACAATACGAGCAACACGGTTATATCAATGTCCAATTATTAAGAACCACAGCAAGCTGATTTTTGGGCAGCTTGGGCAGCCCCACCTGGCTGGTCATTTTGTGCAATTCTTATGGTTTGAGGCTGCAGTAATGCAAATACCCCGTAAGATAATCTCGATGTTAATCACAGGCATCAGATCATATGTAAACGACAACAATCAGTACCTCGGCCCTTGAGTCGGTATCGGCAAGTCTCTGCTTTATGTCCTTGGCGATCGAGAAGAAAACCTCCTCAACGTTCATGTTTGTCTTGGCACTCTGTTTTGAGATTCAGAATGACTGTGTTTGCATCTAAAATACGTATGAATTGACGAGTGTGTTAGTTCAGTACTTACTGTCTCGAAGAATTTGATTCCATATTCATCTGCGAGTGCTTGACCCTTCGATGTCGGAACAGCCTACAGATTGATGTTCGAGCACTTGGTGTGAGATCGTTATGCGAAAACACGAATCAGTCTTGGAGAGGTAAACACGTTCCAGCAGAACATTATTCACTTGCTATTATTAATATAACAGAGAGAGAGAGAGAGGACCCACCCTTTTGCTTTCATCCATGTCAGCCTTGTTGCCGACCAGTATCTTGTTGACATTGTCAGAAGCATGCTGTTCGATGTTTCGGATCCAATTCCGAATGTCTACAATATATATGGATGCAATGTATATAAGAAATGAAAAGAGATTTTTCTAAGCTATAGAGCATGATCAAGAAATTTAAATAAGAATCACGAGCAATTACTGTTGAAAGATGACTCGTCGGTGACATCATACACAAGCAATATACCCATTGCTCCACGGTAGTAAGCTGCAAAAGAAACATATACTTAGACAACCAAAAGTGAAGACAGATAATTTTGGGGAAGGCAGACAGACACAAATATACTGCAAAATATCATCAGCATAAAACACAGGAATTTGTCGACATTTGTACGAATCAGTTACTAAAAAAACAAAATTGAAATCACGATAAAACATAAATTTACAACGGTATAGCATTTTTTCCGCAAGTATATTTCCGTGCCATAAAGCGAAAATAGCATGTGATCGTTTCGGAATATCATGCCGTACAATCAACTCCTAACACTCATGCTTCCAGTTTCTCAAAGTAAACACCAGTCATCAAAAACAAAGAAGGCTTAAGAGATTTCTAGATTACCAATTTTTCTTATCCCACAGTACCTTTTTTCTCCAAGTGCATCACACCCCCGATTACATACAAACTATCTTTTCTCTATACAAGGCAACAAGCTAAAAGGCACCTCTAGCTTTCTAAATTCCCACCCAAAGCTTGCATGTACATACGAAAAAAGGCAATAACTCAGGGAAAGAAACAAACAGCAACACAAAACGAGCACTAATCAGTCAGAAATGTACCAGTGGTAATTGTCCGGAATCGCTCTTGTCCAGCGGTATCCCAGATTTGCAGTTTAATTCTTTTCCCATCAAGCTCTACAGTTCTTATCTTGAAATCAATCCTTTATGAGTAGTGGTATTAAGTAAAGAAGTTAGTAACGAAGTTTGGAAAATCTAACTGGAGTAAGGTGACTAACTAAAAGTAACTGACCCGATGGTAGTAATAAAACTGGTGGTGAAGGACCCATCGGAAAATCGCAGAAGAAGGCAACTCTTACCCACACCTGAAGAAACAAAATGATAAGCAAAATGATGATAACTTCAACCTCAGTCTTGTCAAATTGATATTTCAAATAAACATTAGAATATTTATCATGTATAAGAGTTAATATTGAAAATAATGAGTCGCATAGGAGATGCACGAAAAAGAATACTCGTCAATGAAACACTTTTCAGTTGCATGTTAGAGTCCAAGGTCCCACCAGATGTAATGACAACGAAAACCGAGATTACCATACTGGTTCAGGTTCTATTCATCAATGAGCACATACAACATTGGATTATCAATAACAGAGCCTAACATGTGAAACCTACAACCCATAGAATCAATCAGTTGATTTACTTTGCGGATATATTTGCTCAATTAGCTCAAATTCTAACCATGTGGACTTAACAGTTCATCACTCTTCCAGCAAGGCCGTCCTTGTCTTGGAAATAGCAGTGAGCTTACTTTAAATGCTTTTGATCAAATCTTAGATGGGAAAAAAGCCCATAGAAGAATCTCGCAACACACAGGGCAAGTTGCTTTCAGGCTTCAGGCTCACTTCGCAAGTAGAAATCTTACAACCAACTAGAGTCGGGCTCGGGTTTGTTTATAGATTCGGTTAGTTAGAGTCTCTCTTCCATGAATTGGGTTCAATCAGCTCAAATTTTCACTGAATATTTATTAAAATGGTCTGGGCTCCCTTACTTCCTCCCTCTCTTCCAATCATCCCGTTTGTTTTTTCAGCTCGTTCGTCAATGAAAGCCGGTTATTAAACACAATGGCTTCTAACTAACACAGCATATATAATCAATAAACAAAGCTTTCATCGAATGACCTCGCATAATACACACACATCCATAGGCAGCCACAAGAAAACTCGATTATCCATCAGTACATTGAAGGACCAAACAAAATATCATTAACAACAAAATGAAAAATTACAAAAATGATGATAATTATTGGAAAAAAAAAACAAAAACAAAGAAAACGCACCGCTATCACCGATCAAAAGGAGTTTGATTAGGTAATCGTAATCAGCTCGAGCTCGGGCGGGAGGAGCAGCCATGTCTGATTTGCTTTGTTCTGTGTTTTTCCTTATTCCAAAATCAAAGCAAACCTAGCAAAACAGCAGCAAATCAAACAGATAATC